AATCCAAACTATCCTGACATGGATTGATACGATCAATCAACCGGATATCGATTGAGTCAATAAGAGATCATTAGCACAATCACTGTATTGTATTTAAGGCACTTTTGCACTTATCGTTGCTCACTTAAACTCTTTTCCTCGTCGATGCTTCTATTTTTCTTGTCAACGGGTCATGGTATCTGCTTCATAGCACATTTTTCTAGCGGGTTTTTGACGTTATTGTTCATTTTTCACAATTTTTTTCTAAATGTAATTTATCAACGTGAATTATACAATTATGATTAATAAAATATATAATCATGTCGCTAGCACTCGTATTATTGCTCCATATGTTCAATCAATAAATTTAGATTAGTAGTTTATACATATCGTTCCAAGAACTGAATGACTTTCTTGTAGTTTTCCTCCTTATCCAACTTTCGAATCAAAGCAACAGCGTCTCGATGAGGTGCAACCTGAATATCAGTGGTATTTACGCACTCGAAATGGTTGTGAGGAATAAAAACGTACTCGATAAGCAAAATTGTCGTCATCAAAGAAAAGCTCGGCTTCAGATTTCACTTTCTCTAATACACGTGGCCAAATTGGTCTGAAATCGGTGTGCTAACATCCTGGAACCGTTGGTTTAGCAAGACAGATGAAAGCGAAAGCAGGCAATCATTCAGATAGAGAATGCAAGGAGGATGTTCAACTACAATGAATATAAATGCATTGTTTCCTCGCAACTCCTTTAAACTAGGACTTTTTCCGAGTTGTACAATTACACAATTTTAGACGGCATTAGCTTAGTTGAAGTTACTAATTATTCGATTTGTAAAAGATCAAACTACTGCCAGAGATACCAGCTCTTCTGAGGAGAGGTTATATCTCAAAAGGTTCTGAAATTCAAGTGTAAAAGCGGATGACATTCCATTACGATTATTGCAACCGTAAACTTGAAATATTCAAAATTTTTTGCGAGTGAGAGAATATCGATATTCATTGTAGTAAAAATATTCGAACCAATAAATATTTTTAATCACTACTCAAAATATATTCGAATTCCCTTATTGGAATAATGGGGATCGTAAATTCGACTATTCAAATTATCGATTAAACGGGCATAACTAAATATTCGAATATTCAAATAACAGAGTGGGTTTTTCTCGAATATTCAAATAGCAAATAGTAATTATTCGAATATATTAGCCAAACTTGAATGCGTAAGCTTAAATTATATTCGATGATTTCGCAGATATTCGATGGAACAAATATTCGATGAATTCATACACATGCGAACGATTGTATTATTCGAAGCTCAGTTCGAAAACCATTCGTACACGAATGTTCGAATGACGACACTCCAAAATATTCGACTACTCGACTAGTCGAATAATCGCACTTCTTCGAATATACTATCCGAAAAATCAAATGAACGCGCTTTATCGAATATTCGAAAATCGAATACTCGGATTACTCGAAAGTTCGAATACTTTATTCAAAACGAGTATTCGGTCTCAACTATAGTTGCAAATACCGTAACTTTGCGAAAGGGCAGATCTACAAGTGGACATGTTTATACTAAACAGCATCAACGTTGCTGCAGAAGTTCCTTATGATGATATTTTTGTGTTGGCAGATTTATATTCTGCAGTAGTATTACATAAAACCATTTTCACTAACAATAAGTTAAGAACTGGATTATTTCAGTTGTATAACTTACTCCTCATCGATGTAACCAATCGGTCGAATTAGCCGAGGTACACGTGAATCAAACGTATTTCTCGTCTCCTGCCTTTCCTTCAAATGTTCGAGAAGTTCTTCTCGAGTCAGACTGAGCACTAACTGCACCAGTAAGCAGAGTAGGATGAGCCTATGCATTTCTATCTAAAACATATACATGTTGCAGAAGCATACAGTATTATAAATATATGTCGTAAAATCTTATATCATAAAATCTGAGGTTGGAATGCGAAAGTGGGTGAAATACAGAAAATGAAAGCAAATGTTGTTGAAAACAACGCTGGTGAGGTTTCTGGGTCACTTCCGGAGATGTGAGGAAGCATCGAGCCACGATAAAGCGGACCATTGTCTTTTTGGAGGTGCAACTGATAGTCGTCCCATTTCCCCGCAGGTATTCATTTTTGGTTGTGTCACATGTTATCACTGCTAGGTCTAAAGAGCTAAAAATTGATTCGTCTAGCTTTAGGAATCTTTCCAAAAATCCTGCCATTCCTCATGTTGTCCCATCTCTGGATAATAATGCCTGTGTTTATTGGCAAGGTTATAAGCAGAGGTGAACTCGACTTTTTGAGAATTTCTCAAGTTTTCTCTGCTAATTTCCAAGTTTTAGCTGCATTTTTGCGCGATCGCCCTCGTGGTCTCGGCCTTCTGCAACTTCCAACTGGTATGACTGATGAACGTTCGGCACCATTTTTCCCAAACCTTTATATGGCCGGAGATAAAGTACGCCGTCCTAGAAGTCTTGCACCTTTCAAAGAGAAGGTTACAAAGTGTTCATCTTTGTTAAGGCTGGGCAGAAGCCGGTATCTGTACCAGATGTGCATCTTCCTGGTCAGTTGGCAGAGTTCACTGGGCGGTAAGTGCATTCACAATATAGCAATTGAATTATTCATGGTAAAAATCACATTTTTTGTTTTTCCCCTATATTGAACCTCTTTCATATACTAACGTCTGGTCCTGGTTATCGCTTCCGTCGCCTTCTGCCTCCTACTATCGCTTGCTGTCGCTTCTTTTTTGTTGCCTCGCAGTTCTGTTCCTATGTGGTACACTTACTCTCTCCTGCTGTCACTTTTTGCAGCTCACTGTAGCTCATCGTCGTTCATTGTCGCTTCCTTTTGCGTTTACGCTTCCATTTATCGCTTATTTTCCTTTCTATCGCTTACTTTCTCTACTCCATAGCATGCGCAATCAACATCAATTAGACTTTTACAACCTAGTCGTGTCAAGTATTGGTTGTTCAGTGGTTGGGGTGGCGGCCACTGAGCAACTGATTATGGTTCGAATCCGCTCAATGGTAAACTCTTTTGCCAATGTGTAGGATTTAGATTAAAGATCATAGGTGCACTGTAAAGTTGGAGACAGAACGGTTTCGAACCAAGCACTGATTAGGAGCGAATCTTGGGTAAATCACTTGCTAAAGTGTGCACTTTTGGGTCGGTGATGCTCCTCATTTGACGCAAAAGTACAGATTGTCAGGGGAGCTCATAAGTTGGTTCCGAGCAAATTACGAGTTCCCATGACGGACTGTTGTAAAACAAACACTGTTTCCTTTGTATGACCCGTCAGGAGAACTCTCTCCTTAGGGGCTCAGTTCATCTTATCGCAGAACCTCGCATGACGGTGATCCTTCCGCGGGCTTTGTATCCTTATACTATGGCGGAGGGATCACCGTCATGACCATGATTATGTGAACTCAGTGGAGTTGG